CTTTAAACAGCTAGTGAGAAATGTCTGAGTGTTGGCAGACCAGAAAAGGAAGCCACCTTTGCTTTCTGCAACGTGTGTAACCCCTACATGTAATTATTTATTGCATTGGTCTCTGTTGACAGCAATGAGGTATCATCTTGCCTAGCCAACTAAGTGGAATGAGAGATGAAGAATATCACCCTGCACAAAGACCAATGCCTCCCTGAAAGAGGGAGAAATAAATCTTGGTCTTGAAGATGCAGCCTGAATGACTGGTATTCTTTGGTATAATTTAACAGTGCCAGCATATACCACAGGGGACAGAGTTTCTGTCTGAAAGCTGTTCACTAAGTTTGCAGGATGTGGGAAACCAATAATGGGGGAGAGGGGGATGTGCTGCAAACCACAGCTATAAAGAAGCTTCTATTCTGTACTAGATATAAACGTTCTTATCCCTAAGTGTATTTTCCATCAAATCACAGCCCAGTACTGGAAAAGGCCCAGCTACTTAGTTGAATGCCTTCAGACCATCTCTGCCATCTTCCCTATACAACCTAGCCCTAGATAAGGATGTTCTAAAGCAGCTGGGTAACTGAGGTCTATAATTTTTGAAATGAGTCTTTCCTGGAAACACACTGTGACATCCGAAGTACTGTACCATATTGTTTCTTATGGGTGTAAGTGGCATCTCAAATGCACTACTGTCATTTAGAGAAGTAAGAAAATGGCAACCATTAATCAGGCATTTTCATTTGCTGTGTTTCTTGTTGATGTATCTGAATGCATTTCTAAGACAATCTATGAGTAAAAGTGTCTCATCTCTTGTGTTGACTTGTTGCACGATAAAGGATCTTGCATTTGTACAGGGCATCTGAAGCCTCTCTTAAAGGGAGGATAAAAGACACTGAGCTTAGTTGCTTCCATCTGTCACTTCCGGAGCTGCATCAAAAATGAATCAGGGTTCAAATTACTTCGCTTTATAGAAAAAGAAAATATTGGTAAAGCAGAGACCTAAAGTCCTGGTGTTATTTTACTAAACATCATAGTATGCATGTTAGTTACTAATTTTTTACACCTTTTGACCAATATATTCTGGTAATTTTATTTGTAAAACAATTTTAATAGATGTTATTTTTAAAGAATTCAAAGGCATATTTTCCTCCTTGCACTGTATCCAAATTGCTGCTGTTACTCTAAACCGCATTTAATGTAGGTTTTAGGCAGCACATACAACCATCTATTATTTTGCACTACCGCAAATCAGTATAGTTTTTCAAGTGTGTAGATATCACACAGTTGGCTCCATATGTATTGAAAACTATTTTCTTGATGGATTTCATTGCCTTTAAGTCAACTCGGTACTAGAGGAATATACCTATTAAGAGAAGACAATCCAGTACTATAGAGTTCATGTTTTGCATTCTACTAGAAACAGCAGAATGTAGTTAAGAAACCTTTTCTGCACAATGGAGCTGGCCCTAGAACTGCATCCTGCTCACCCTGTGGTACTGATCATGCCCTGCATTGGACCCCTGACCATGTTGAAGACATCTGTCTCATAAGACGTTGCAATGGATCCTCTTTTCTTATGGGATGGCTGTAGTGATTTCATTTACAAAGCAGTCTGAGCCTGGAGACCTCCTGTATTTCTGCCTTGATCTTTAGAGCAGAAAAGCTTCAGAGCAGGATAGAAAGATAAGGATCTGTGAACTAAGAGAATGGAAACTTGGTTGCTACAACAAAGAGATGTGAGACATCACAGGACAGAGCAGAACAGCTATGATGTTGCCAGAGGAGTGGACAGGTATGTTTGTCTTTTGTATCTTTATTACTTTTGGACATGGTCCATCTTGTTTACTGTGTGTATTGATGTCTATTGGTTAGGGGAAGATGAAACACAATGTAGTATATCCCAGTTCACCACGGCTGTAACGGGGATGTGCTACTGCTTTTTGTAAGTGTGGTGAGATAGCTGGAGACTGTCCAACCCAAAGATCAGGGAACAAACTTACTTAGTCTGTTAAGACTATTCTTTGCTGAAATATCAGTGTACATTCCTCTGCTACTGAAACAGTGATGTTCCTTGCAGAGCTCTGCAATGCACTACAGTAAGTCTGAAAACCAAGGTGTTCAAGTCTAGGCCTCTTGCATGCTGTAATAGAGGATGCCTCAGAGAAGCAGGGACTACACAGATGGTCAGCTGATCATCTGATTAGGATGTGCCTCATGGCAGTGCAGAATAGGGTTTTTTCACTCTTTCTAACCATTGATCTTTGTTAGAGACAGAAAGTGTGCTGGGATTGTTTTAATCAGCTTTTGTTTGTTCCTGCAAACAAAAGGGAACTGTTGGGAGCTGTATTCAGTGTTGGCAGTGAAGATGTCACTTTTTCTTTCCCACTGTCTTCCTCAATTTTCCAGCGAGTAACAGCATACAGAGAACTGCCATCTGCCTTCTCACGCAAGTGTCCTGAACCCTTTTGGCAAGCCTGTGCCCAGAAGTGTATTCAATCTGTTACTAACACTGTGTAGATAGTATAGTATGTTGCTGAATTATAGCTAAAACACCCTGTGAAAAGCTATTTTAATTGTAGGAAAATTAATTCAGATCCTGTCTCACAAATGTAATTCTTGAATGTTGCTAGGGAAATGGAAGGCTGGACAGAAAAGCAGAAACTGAAATGTTTGACTTGAAGGATTACTGTACCCGTGAGATTACTCGTGTCCTTCCTGGTTGGACACCCCAAGACTCTTCTCACCTGATCATCCATTGCCATTTTGCTTCCTTTCCAAGGACTTGAATGGCTTGGTCCTTCTGCCACCCCTCCCTGCCATTCTGGAGCAGCAGTGAACATGGGCTAGCAAGACAGACCCATCTCAAGGGGCTTGCCAGGGTTAATCCACGGGTGGTTCTGACATGCTCCAAGTGCCACACAGGACTGTGAGCTGTGCAAATGTTCTAGCTCAGCCCTTTGCAGCTCCCCCTCCTCGGTTTTGGGTTTTGATTTTTTTCCTTTTACAAGCAAGGAAGCCCTTCAATTGGATGGGCAGCAGAGGCAGCCCAGGAGGAACAATGGCCGAGGAACAGATTGCAGCTTGTAAACCAAAACCTCCCCAGGGGTTGCTGCTAAAAGGAGACTAGAGAATTCCGACACCAATTGGCATCTGGATTTCCCCCTGCTCCGCACTGCAGCCACTAAATTTCTGGCCTGTCAGCATGGTAGTGTAGTTGTACCGCATATATTTACTCCCTCCTTGGGCAGGCAGCAGGGAAGTGTGGGTATGGAGAGCTGTACAGGGCACAGTAGTGCTGCAGAACTCATCAGAGCTGTGCCTTCATGATCACACCGATGACAGGTCAAGGAGGCCCAGACATGAAAGGGTTAAAGCTAAGCATTAAGCAGCACCTCTGTCAGAGCACGTGTGCCCCAGCCAAAACGTCACACAGGTTGGTGGGCTCCCTCCACAGACCCACCCTTGCTAACCTCTAGCCAGCTGATGGTACAGGAAGGGTTGTTTACAGTTTATTGAGATGTTTAAGATTACATGATATGGCAGCCTGATGTGAGGTATACGGAAGCGGCCACTGTTGTGAAGGGCTTGATGGAAGAGCTGAATTTTGATCTGACCATGAAGAGCCCTGGCCACAGGCGATGAGGACCAGGAATTGGGAGGCGACCAGGAGGAACCTCTGTGGTCTCTAGAACATGACTTTTAAGTCGTCATGATTTGGACAGTCTTAAGAGGCAACTTTCTGAGTCTCACGTAGCATGCAAGCACTGGGGACTGTTACCTTTGGGAGTACCTATGGCTGGAAAAGCCCATGCTTTTTAGAATAGTGCATTGATTTCTTGCCTGGGCAACATCTCTGAGCTTTTTATGAGCATCTCCAATGTTCATGGTAAATCAGGAGGGGCATGTTTTTTACCTATGTGTACAAGTCTGTACTGGCAGACCATATATATGCAAATAGACACAAGACATTTGTCAGCTGTGGCAGCTGCACTGCCCTGGTTTTTAAACAGTATTGTTGGAAGTGGTTTACATTTGAAGGGAGCTTTATATGAATCTCTCAAAAGCAGATGCCAGAGGTGACATACATGTCTAAAGGACTAGGGCAGCAGAGGGCACGTAGACACTAGGCACAGTTTGAGGGTACCAAGGAATTTCCATTCCAGGTCTCTCTGGTTAACCTAAATACTGTCTGTTCCTTTGAAGAGACATTTTGGAAAGGGGAAAGATTTTTAGACTGAGTATGCCACAGCAGTAGCAGTTTAAATACAGCAAACCATCCAACCCTCCAACAAACTTGCTTGTGAAAAAAGGAGCATCTCCCCCTCCCCCCCCATATTTATTTTTTACAATGTTTTTGAGATTACTATTTTTTAAGTCTTGGCAGGTGAGGCCTGGGCCATGTTCAGGTCATTGTGCAGAACACTCCAAAGCACCTCACAAACCACAACAGACAAGGAGTGTAACAGTCCTCAGGCCCAATATTCAGGTACCCACAGACATTGCTCCTGTCCTGACCCAGAAACCATCTCTCAGGAACTCCAGGAAGGGGAAAAGAGCTGAATGGAGGCTTCAGTCCCTCTGAAAATGGTCTCAGCACCCTCTTTCTTTGTATTTGCCCACCCTCAGCAGGCTGGCTGGGAGCTACAGTCTGCATTTGCAAAACCAATAGCCAGGATCTGCCAACTGAACTTACAAGTTTGGCAGACACAGAGTTTCAGTTGCAGGACTCCTGGATCACAGCTCTGAGGAACAAAAGTCTAAGTGTTATTTCTGAGCATTTTTTCTCTCAGCAGCTTCCCTTCTTGGTGCATTTTCTTTCTCTGAAGACACTTTCAGGGTTTCCTCCTGCAGGGGAAACCTTTAAATCTTCAGGGCAGTGGGGAGGGCTGAGGTCCTAATATCGGTAAAGCTAGAACAGAAAACATATCCCCATTTCCATTCCCCCTTGCACCTGCTCTTTCTCACTCCTGCGCTTTCCCTGCTCAACCACCCAGCATTCAAATCCTCCTCTTCTGCACCAACTGTCCAGCCACTTTGGAGAGTGTGGCCTTTGTGTCACCAAAGTAATTCCCAGAAGGAACATGACATTGCCAACAAGACCAAGAAATGTTCCAGAAGAGATCCCTAAGGGCTGCCAGACCCTAAGCCTCAGGGTTTGGCACTCAGCCCTCAGCATGCGTAGTCTCTGACCCCCAGTTCCTTTTGTGTTAGCCTGGGAGCAGGAGAGTGGATGCTGACAGTTTCTCTCTTGGCTTTGGGTGGGCCAGGGTGCTTTTCAGCTGCACTTGCAGGATTTCACCACCATGTTGGAGAGCTGCTCCACTTTGGGGGTCCTCCCAACATAGTACAAGATAGTGAGTGGCTCCAGGTCCTGGGGAACACAGCAAGGCGAAGCGGATGCCTCAGGGTTCAGCGTGTTGTATAAGCCCAGAACCTGCAGAAACAAAGTAAATGCAGTGAGACAGTGCCAGGAATACATTTAAGCTGCTTAAGGATAGGAAGCAAAGCCAAAAGGTCTCTAGGTGTTTGGACTATGCTCATCAGAGGGTATTTCCCTCCAACAGCCAATACTTCCCTCCCCAATACTTCCTGATCATGGTCTGCCTCTAAAGGGTCTCACTTGCCCTGGCCTGACTCTTAAGACTTTTTTTTAATTGTAGTAGCATTGCTCTGTGGCTGATGCCTAAGGGTTGAAGGAGTGCAAGTAGTTGTCTCCTTTCATCTCTAATTTAATATGGTGAATAGTGTCACAATTTTTGCTTTTAACAAGGCTGGGTGTAACCAGCCTGGGGCTGTGTTGTCTTGGGTTCTATTAAAGAAACAACATCAATACTGCTTATTTCAACCAACATCTCTAGATAGCACTGGATGGATGCCAGTCTCTCCCAGCTTTGAACTGTCTGATGCCTTCTCCCTCCACTTCATCCTCCAAGTCATTACACTACAAAGCTGGAGCCAGGAGTGTCCTGTGGGACCCCACTGGATTCCTCCTCCCAGCTGGCCCCAACCCACATATGACTGTACACTTCAGCCATGTAACCACTACAGAACAGTTGCCCTGTTTCTTGCCAGAAGTGGCCACTTCTCAGCAGTAAGCAACTTCTTGAGTTCTGGGGCCAAAACGTAATCTCACCTGCACTACTGTGGTCTCATTAGTGCTTATCTGGTATCAACAACAGCGTCTGGTACACTGTCTTTTTAACTACTTTATCTTTGGGGATGAGAGATGTTAAGGAAACATCCTGTTCTACCATCCAGATGCATATAATCGCAGTCATTCTGGTAGAAGCTCTCTGGGATACTGAGCCAAGTACCCCTGGCTGTACCACAGGGGTACCAAGTGCTCTGGGGCCGCTCTACCCAACAGGCAGGAGGTTAAAGAGTGGTGAGAAATCTTCTCACCATGTTTTTCCTAAGTGGTGCTGGCAAGCTGTCAGCAGATATATTGTTCTAAAGGTTTTCCTGGATCATTCAGCTGACCTTAACGCTTGATCAAGAAAGGAAAGAACATTAGGAACCATTCTAAAATCCCCTTTCTCTCATACTGATTTAGTCCAGTTGTCTACTAGAGAGCTTCTCAGGACAACCAGATGGTAAAGCTACATGTCCATTACCCTTTCTAAGCTGTTCATTCCCTTGCTTGTCTTGTGCTTAATACCCAGCATCTGTTCACACCTTCATTCCCATAGATTGTTCCCGCTGATATTAGTCCTTGAGTTCCAGTGAGTTTTGCTGTTGTGCAAACTCTCAAGCTGTCAAGAAAATGATAGCATCCTTTCTGCAATATCATCTTTACCTAGTTATCTGTTCTTCAGCCGAATCTACTTTTTCCAGTAACTTTTTTAGTGAAACCTGAAGCTAAGTTGCTAGTGAGCTGCAGCATTGTCTGGATTGCTGCCTTTTCCCTTCAGTGGACAGAAGCACAGGATTTCCCTCTGGCTTTTCTTGTCTCAGCAATGGACTGTCTGCTCCTTAGTATGGTCTTCTCCCCATGGTACTTCTCCCATGTCTGTGCTTTTCTATTGCTTTTATTTTCTTCCACTCTAGACAGTAGACAGGCTCAGGTAGTGTTCTTCCCAAAGACTGCCTAGTGTACTCATTTTAAACAGAGGTTATGCTTAAGTTACCTAGACATCTGCTTTCTGCCAATTTTTACTCATAAATCTCACTGCCTAGTAGGTTCCTCCCTGCCATAGGTCAGGTGAGATTTGTACAGCTGCCTGTGCAGAAAGCTACTATATAGCTGTGTTCACTTCTGGACATGGACACAGAATTTCCCTTCACTTTCAGGATACAGCTGCCCCTATGGTAGCAGATGGCAGCTATGTGCCATGGCACAACAGTTTTGCATGACAACCTGGCACAGACTGTAGAGAAATCATCTATCCAGTGCAAACTGCAGGAGAAATTTAGGCAGAAGTTAATTACCAGAGTTGACATCTGATACTCTGGCCATAACCAAGTAAGTACCCTAAAACCATCAGTCCTTCTATTTCACATCTTATCCAAGAGACAGCATCCTCCTCCTCAACATTTGGCTGGAAGCATAGACTCAGTATTGACTCAAAAGGAAGCATATTTTCCCTGCTGACACAACTCGGCTTCTTTGCAGTTTCC